TCTATATATGGAATAATACCACCAAATTTTTGACTTGAATTTGTCACTTCATCCAATCTTTTCGAAAGTCCAAAATCTGTAAGTTTAATACTCTTTTGATGAATAAGTATATTGTTTGAATGCTATTAAAATTATAAATATTTAGGCTTAATAAAAATAATGAAAGATCATAAGCTATTATAATTGGAATTTTACCAGATCACGATGTTTTATCTGTTATATTTTTATCTTTACGAAATTTACTAATAATTTCAAGTAATAAATAGATTGCTGGCAGCATGATTCTGATAGTCGGCCAGATATGCAGCAAGTCTTTTTAGATCTAAAAAATTCAATTACTAATAATAAACAGGCTATAGATCGAATTGCACAAGACTCAAGTGTATTAGAAGCTCATGGATCAACTCAATTAGTTGATCAAAGTAATCTGAGTATGTTTATTTCTGATTCAACACAGAGAATTTTAATGTAAAATACTTCTTTATCATTAAACAATGGTGAAATGGTCAATTATGAAAAAAAACTTTCCGAATTAAATAAGTTATTAGAAATTAATCCAAATAATACAGCAGCTTTAATAAGCCGTGGTGAAATCTATTGTATGATGAGTAAATATGAAGATTCACTGGCAGATTTCAATAAATTATTAAAAGTCGAATCAAATAATCCATTCGCATTAAAAAAGCGTTGTGTAATATACTATCATTTGAGCAAATATAAAGAATCACTCAACGATTTAAATAAATCATTAGAAATTGAACCAAATGATACATTTGCGTTAAAAAATCGTGGAAATGCTTATCGAATGATGGATAAATTTAATGAATCACCTGGGGATTTAAATAAATCATTAGAAATTGAACCAAATGATTCGTTTACATTAAGTCGTCGTGATTCAACTTATCGCTTAATGGATAAATATAAAGAATCACTTGCAGATTTAAATAAATCATTAGAAATTAAACCAAATGATACATGGGCACTAAGGCAACGTGGTGCAACTTATCGTATGATGAGCACATATAAAGAATCACTTGTAGATTTAAATAAATCATTGGAACTCGACCCAAATGATGGAATTGCATTATGTGAACGTGCAGTAACTTATCGAATGATAGATAAATATGAAGAATCACTTGTAGATTTAAATAAATTATTGGAACTTAGACCAACTTCTGCAACTGCTTTACGTGAACGTGGTATAACTTATCGAATGATGGATAAATATGAAGAATCACTTGCAAATTTAAATAAATCATTGGAGCTTAGACCAACTTCTGCAACTGCTTTACGTGAACGTGGTGCAACTTATCGAATGATGGATAAATGTGAAGAATCACTTGTGGATTTAAATAAATCATTGGAACTTAGACCAACTTCTGCAACTGCTTTACGTGAACGTGGTGTAACTTATCGTATGATGAGCAGATATGAAGAAGCACTTGCTGATTTAAATAAATCATTGGAACTTAAACCAAATTATGTATTTGCATTAAATGAACGTGGAGTAACTTATCGAAAGATGGATAAATATGAAGAATCACTTGTAGATTTAAATAAATCATTGGAATTAGATCAAAATAATGCATTTGCACTACGTAACCGTGGTGCAACTTATCGTATGATGGGTAAATATGAGAAGTCACTTGCTGATTTAAATAAATCATTGGAACTCAACCCAGATAATTCATTTGCATTAGGTGAACGTGGTGCAGTCTATCGTCTGATAAATAAATATAAAGAAGCGCTTGCAGATTTAAATAAATCATTGTAACTTAAACCAAATTATGTATTTGCATTAAATGAACGTGGTGTAACTTATCGCATAATGGATAGATATGAAGAATCGCTTGTAGACTTAAATAAATCGTTGGAAATTGAACCGAATAATGCATTTGCATTATATGAACGTGATATAACTTATCATTTGATAATCAGATAAAGTTAACAATAAATATGTATTAAGAAAATTTGGTTTTTTAGATTAAAAATATTCTTATGTTGTCACAGGTTAAAATTGTTACTGCTAGGTTCATGTGATGTGACCAGATTGCATGAATAGAGTGCATGAAAAGTTGATTTGTAGTCTATTCTGTATCTTGCATAGTGCATATAACCTGGATAATGATATATCCGGAGATAATCTGTAATTTAAATAGAATATAGATTTCTAATAAAGTGAATAACGATAAGTTTGGCTTTCGAAGAAATGTCTTATTGATACACTAAGTGGTTGTTACTACAGTAAGCTTGAAGCTGATGAGTTGGTGGAGCACAAGAATTATACTCCAGTTCGGTTGTATATCGAGTGAACTCTAAGTTATAAAGTCGACAAAGACCTCATACCATATATCTCCACAACAATGTTAAATTTAAACAGGTTTATCAAAAAAAAATAAATAATTTATGTATTTAAATAATTTATATACAAATTGAACTAAGGAGGAAATTTGCTTCATATTCTAACTAGTGATGGCTTGGTTTGCAGTCATTGTGATTACTATTCAGTCTGTAAAGTATTTACAATTTCTATCACATACAAATTTTTTAAATCCATATAATTAATGCAATGTTAATAACAAACAATGAATAAAATACAAATATAATACACTAATAAATTTTGTATTGGTTGAGAATTATTTAAAATACCGTAAAAATTTGAAATAATTACCAAGGTATAATTTTGAGATTTAGCCAAGATTAAGTTTAACTCTGGCCGTAATTCCCACGCCTATTATTTCACGTTTTTACGGTAAAAATTTAACAATCAGATTGTAAATCTAGATTCTGTATATTTACTATGCGTTTAAGTATCTGAAGTATCTGGATACAATTATCAGTTTTACTAATATTTCCCATAGCAACGGATTTTTGATAATAAATAAATGCTTTCTGTTTATCTTTTTGGACTCCAATTCCATGAAGGTAACAACTTCCAATATTATATGTTCCACTAATGTCACCCATATCGGCAGACTTTTGATAATGAATGAATGCCATATGCTCATCCTTTTCAATTCCAATTCCATCTCGATAACAGTTTCCAAGTGCAAATATCCCATTACTACCCATCTCTGCAGATTTTTGATAACAAATAAACGCTTTATATGTTCATCTTTTTCAACGCCAATACCATCATGATAACAATATCCAACGTTATTCATCCCATTAACATTACCCATCTTTGCAGATTCCAGATAATGAATGAATGCTTTATATTCATCTTTTTCAACACCAATTCCATGAAGATAGCAGTATCCAACATTATACATTCCACTAACATCCCCAATATCAGCAGATTTTTGATAATTAATAAACGCTTTATGCCCATCCTTTTCAACTCCAATTCCATCACGATAACAATTACCAATTGCAAATATTCCATCAGAACTACCCATCTTGGAAGATTTTTTATAATAAATAAATGCTTTATATTCATCTTTTTCAACTCCAATACCATTGTGATAACAACATCCAACATTATGCATTCCTTCAGCAGCAGATTTTTGATGATAAATGAACGTTTTATGCTCATCTTGTTCAACTATGGATGATTTTTCAACTATGGACGGGTTTTCAACTATGGAAAGTTTTCCAACTATGGACGTCTTATGTTTGTCTTTTTCGACTACGGGTTTCATCACGGACTTCTTAAGTTTATCTTTTTCAACCACAAACTTCTTATGTTCGTCTTTTTCAATGTCTCTGCAGATTTTTGATGATGAATGTATTCATCTTTTTCGATATCAAGTTTTTCATTACGCAAATCATTAATGTTCTTTGAATCAGCATATTTTTGATAATAAATATATGCTTTATTTTCATCCATTTCGACACCAAAACCATTTAGATAACAATAATTAAGGGTAATCCCTATAAAAAATTTTTTTACAGATATATTCCGATTTTGTTCCGAACAAGTCGAACCCATCCCGATCATATTCCGAACTGAAATTTGCATAATATAAATTAATGTATCGATATTGATATTGCTCCGGAAATGATCCTAAGTTTTTTTTTTAAAAAAATTATAAAAAAATGAAATTTTGAGCGTTCAGAAAATATTCCGGTTTGGAACTTTATTATTCAGCGCTATTAAGTTAAAGTTATGAGAGCTATTTACATATCACGGTCGATAAATACCTTGTGTAACGTATGATCACACCGGAAGATCATTACATAAGAAATTTTTTTCATTTTTTTTCTTCTTTGTTCCTTTTCTTTTTTTTTCTTCGTTCCTTTCCTTTTCTTTTGTTTCTTTTTCTTTTTTTCATTCTTTTTCTTTTGCTCCTTTTCTTTTCTTTCGTTTCTTTTCTTTTTCTTTGTTTCTTTTTTTTCCTTCGTTCCTTTTCTTTTCCTTTGTTCCTTTTCTTTTCTTTTCCTTTGTCCATTTTTTTTCCTTTGTCACTTTTCCTTTCCTTCGTTCCTTTTCTTTTCCTTCATTCCTTCCTTTTCTTTCATTTTTCTTTCACCCTTTATCTTTTGTTCCTTTCTTTTCTTTCTTTTCTTTTCTTTTGTTCCTTTTTCTTTGTCTCTTTTCTTTTATCCTTTTCCTTTTCTTTTGCTCTTTTTCTTTTGTCCTTCCCTTTTCTTTTATTCCTTTGTATTCTTTCATTCTTCTCATTTTCTTTTGCTTATTTCTTCCATCTCTTTCATTCTTTTTCTTTTGTTTCTTTTTTCTTTTCAGTTCTTCTTTCGTTTCTTTTGTTTCTTTTTTCTTTTCGGTTCTTCCTTCGTTTCTTTTCTCTCATTCTTATTTTCTTTGTTGTTTTTCTTTTCCTGATTACTAATATTATTTTTTTATAGATTTTTCTATAGTGTCTCTATGGCATGTGTGTTGAGATTACCATAGATGAAGAATCATTGATGCAGATTTCGTATTTTTTTTGCACCTTGTTATTTTGAAGTCATCGTTGTTGAAGAATTACTGGTGGGTTTCGTTCTTTTGCACTGTGTTATATTGGAGTCGTCACTATAGTTGGGCTGTGTTATATTGGAGTCACTATAATTACCATAATTGCTAGTCTAGATTTATCATTTTTATGTCATATTGTCTTTTCTGTAATATTATCATTTTGTGTAATATTATATCATTATTAGAGAAATAGTTAGGATTAGAATGATTAGATAGCACAAATGTAATATGAAATAATTCAATTTTTATAAATATATTCAATTCTGATTATGATCAGATTTTTTAAAAATATCAGATTAGTTCTGGAATATAATATTAAATAATGTTCCAGAAAATACTCATTTTCTGGAATATTTTTGGAATATAAAGATCTGAAAATTTTTTGAAAATTTTCTGAAATAAAAATCTGAAAAATTTTCAGAAAATAATAATAATAAATTTTTTATAGAGAATTATTCTATCAATATTACCTATATAAGCAGAATTTTGAAAATGAATGAATGCTTCATTCATGTTTTTTTTAATACCTATTCCTTTTTCGTAACAATATCCAACAT